GAAGAACTTGGAAATCAGCAAGCATAGATGATTTGAGTCGTGAAATATTTGAAGCCTAATCCAGGCTTCTAGAAATCCTTCAGACACTGCTCCTCCCTAAGCGGAAAAGAGAACCTAATTGTTTTTCCCCCTCACTCTTCTTCCCCTGCCCCAATTCTCTCTCTGATATATTCTTCTCTCTCTAGAAAGCAGTTGCGAAGAAATAATTTTATTTCACCCCTTTACTCTCCAGTCAATGGCACTGTGTCACCAAAGTTGCAGGTTTAACATCGAAACCCTTGATCTTTTTTTTTTTCCATGCTTCACTGAAAAGTCTACATATCCTTTTCAAAAGCTCTTATTATAAGGGTATAAGACTCCCCAATTACACACTTTTCAATCTTTCAAAAGTTGTCCCGTCCATGAAGCTTCTTCCCGAGTGGACATGATGCCCCTTCCTTGAAGCTCCCATAGTGCTTGACATGCATCTTTCTCTCTTTCTGCTTTTATATCGATGACCTACATGGACAGTAACCCTCACTGTTGCTTTCCTAGTGCCTGGCATAGTTACAGGAACATTCTTCCACAGATGGAGGAATTTGTCCGCTATATCCTCAGTTCCTATCACAGTGCCTAGTAACCAGCATGCTGTTAGTAGCAAACAAATACATGAACACAAACTCTACTTTTCCCCCATGATCAACGGGTAGGAAGGATTAGATGAGTCATTACTCTATGGTTCTCCTTATTTGCCCAGACCCTTGCACTCAGCTTAGTTTGCAATTTTGCACATGGTTAGTACTGGGTATACATTCCAAAAATTATTTTGGTGAGAAATTCTCCGTTTCTTTGCAACTTTTACATAAATCTAAAACAATTCCAAAATACAAATTGAGTAAAAGGATTAATTTGATCTTCCTTGGGAATTGATCTTCTGCCAGTGAACCACTAGAACTTTTGGCAAGTTCTTTTGCACAGCTCTTTCCATTGAGAACTCTACCTTTCATTGAACAATTAAATACATTTATTTGAAAAACATTTGTACAGCACTTACTATGTACCAAGGATCATTCTAGGTCCTTTCTAAATATCATTCATTGACTCCTCATATTAATCCTATAGCAGTAGTAATCTATTATCAAATGAAAAAAGTGAGGCATAGAGAAGTTAGGTAATCATCATCAGGAGACATAAAACAGCACCAAGTCTGTTCATCATAGGTTGTAATTCCGTTTCTGGGACTTCTTTTTTCATAAGCTGAGGAATGGCTTCATTTCCATTTGGTCTGAACAAGACAGTGTGTGGGGTTCTGTCACTGGAGAAATATTGAACAAAGGCAACATTGTACAGTTGAGAGAGAGGCTCCCAGGTTTGTTCTCCCTGGACATCTTTCTTTCCATTCTTCTGTACCTGAAACCAGCTGCATGTTCATCTTCACCTACTGAGCCCAAGTCAAAGTCTAGCCAAGCTGAGAGGTCAAGTCACTACTTTATTCTTTTCTTTTTGAGATGGAGTCTCACTCTGTCATCCACACTGGAGTGCAGTGGCGTGATCTCGGCTCACTGCAACCCCCAGTTCCAGGGTTCAAGTGACTCTCCTGCCTCAGCTTCCCTAGTAGCTGGAATTACAAGCGCCCACCACCATGCTCAGCTAATTTTTGTATTTTTAGTAGAGATGAGGTTTCACTATGTTGTTCAGGCTGGTCTTGAACTCCTGACCACAGGTGATCCGCCCGCCTGCCTTGGCCTCCCAAAGTGTTGGTGAGCCACCGCACCCAGCCATCACTACTTCATTGATTGAGAGATGATACCACATATACTATATGTTTTTCTAATTTTCTGGGTCAGCTTGTCCATTCTCAAATGTTTTCACTACCTCCTCCATGCTGGCCACTCTACCCAAACTATGCTGCAGGCTTCTCTTCTGAGATTCAGGCCTGCATATCCCTCTGCCTTGTTATACCACAGAGTGAGGGACCACCATCCCCTGGCCACTTAAGCCATCCCTGTGGTCACCCATGCTACCTTTGTATTATCCCCTGCTCCTTTACAGACTCTCTTTCCTGCCACATGAACTCATTTTCAAGGTTCAGATGCTTCTCTTTCCAACCTGCAGCCTATGATCTTTTTCTCTCTTTCCTGAAGTAAATTCTACACCTTGTTCCATCTGGTGGGTTTCTGTTTTTATATAGCTCATTCCAAATATCTCCTCCTCTTGGGAACCTAGGTTACAGATAAGTTGCTTTTGCTGTTGCTTGGCATTGACGGTCAAGTTCACCAATTCCCAATGCCACAAGCTTACAAGTCTGGTCTAAAATGAATCTGTTAGCCAGACATGGTGGTGTGTGCCTGCAGTCCCAGATACTCAGGAGGCTGAGGTGAGAGGATCACTTGAGCCCAGGAGGGCTGCAGTGAGCCAAAATTTTGTCATTTTACTCCCTCCTGGGCAACAAAGCAAGACACTATCTCTAAAAATAAAAATTAGGCCAGGCACAGTGGCTCACGCTGGTAATCCCAGCACTTTGGGAGGCCGAGGAGGGCGGATCACCTGAGGTCAGGAGTTTGAGATTAGCCTGGCCAACATAGTGAAACCCCATCTCTACTAAAAATACAAAAAAATTAGCTGGATGCAGTGGTGGGGGCCGGTAATCCTAGCTACTTGGGAGACTGAGGCAGGAGAATCACTTGAACCTGGGAGGTGAAGATTGCAGTGATCCGAGATCATGCCACTGCGCTCTAGCCTGGGCAACAGAGAGAGAGAGAGACTGTCTCAAAAATAAATAAATAAATAAATAAAATTAAAATTAAATTATAAAATAAAATGAATCTTAACAACTTTTCTCAAGAACTATTTTAATTAACAACTAAACTGCACAGACTTAAATACATAATTAGATGAGCTTTCACAAACATAAACACTCGTGAAGTAAACATCTCAGTCAAGAATTAGAATACTGTCATCAGCCCAGAACGTTTACTCATGCCTCTTCCAGTCAATCCCCACCCACCCCATAAGTAACCATTGTTCTACTATCTCTCACCAAAACCTCAACTTGTATGACCTCAGTTTTATATAAATGGATTCATGCAATATTCTCTTCTTCATTTTTGTCTGGCTTCTTTCGCTCAACATTTTTGTAGTTTGATCCATACCGTTTTTTAATCTCAGTAGTTTCTTCTTTTTCATTGCTGTGTAGTATTCCATGCTATGAATATACAGTAGTTGGTTTGTCCATGCTCCTGCTGATAGACATTTGGGTTGTTTCCAGTTTCATGCCACTGTGAATAAAGCTGCTGAAAATACTGTTTTATATGTCTTTTATGAGCATATGTTTTCACTTGTCCTAGGTAAACATCCCCTGAAATTGTCTGACCTTGCTACTACCAAGTTACTGAACTCATTTTCTATCTCAAATGTTTAAATTGTTCCACAGCTTAGAGTTGCAGTCCATTTTTTTTTTTTTTTTTTTTTTGAGATGAAGTTTCATTCTTGTTGCCCAAGGTGGAGTGCAATGATGCAATCTCAGCTCACTGCAACCTTCACCTCCCAGGTTCGACTCTCCTGCCTTAGCCTCCTGAGTAGCTAGGATTATAGGCATGTGCCACGATGACAAGCTAATTTTTTATATTTTTAGTAGAAGTGGGGTTTCACCATGTTAACCAGGCTGGTCTTGAGCTCCTTACCTCAAGTGATCTGCCCATCTCAGCTTCCCAAAATACCAGGATTACAAGTGTGAGCCACCAGCCCAGCCCAGTCCAAGTTTTTAAGGACCACCCTCCCAATAAAACCATGAGGGAGTCCTAATGAACTCCAACACTCAGAGGAGCCAAGACACTTACCCAGGGTTGCTGCCCAAGGGACAAAACAGGACTCGAAGATAGTTTCTGAGCCCAAGCTTACCTCTTTCCCTTCTGGGAAGAATAATGCTGCCAAAGGTGGGTGTTTGGGGAGCAGCGTCAACCCAATTCTACCTTTGCCAGCTCCTTCAGGTTTGCCCACTTTTTCGCTTTTCCTCCCACTAGTGTTTCAGGGCTGTTGGGTCAGCCTAACAGTCCAGGTTCTACAAAAAGCAAGAACTCCAAGCCCAGCATCTATTTATCTGCTTCGTCTTCTTCTTACTACCCAGGCAAGTAGATACTGACTGGTTTGCTACGGATATTCCTGCATTCTTTGATAATCCAGCCCTGGAGAAGAGGGGATAGATATGTGAACCATTAAACTATAATTGACATGGTGCCAGAATCAATCCAAAGGAAATCTTTGTGTATCTATTTTATGCCAGATTCAGGGACACAAAGATGACCAAGGTCCAGTCATGAGCTTCAGGGCACTTATGGCTCAGTGAAGGCAGATAGATGAAGAAATATTGCAAACAAGACAGGCCTTGGCACTAGCTGTTAATGGTGAAGGGAGACTCCTTTCTGGAGGAGTTAAGACTGGAAGTTTTCTTGAAGGTGACAGTATTGGTGATAATCCTTGAAAATTGATTTGTTAAATTTTTCCACTTGGAGACAGAGTAGTGTGAGCAAAATCCTAGAGGCAGACAAGTTCAAAAAAGATGATGATGGCAGCGACCAGGAGAGTATGGCTGGAGTTGAAGGCTCATTCAAGTCAATAGTGGGAGACAGAAAGGTGAGGCTGGCCGCTGATTTGGACCAGGTCACTGAGAGTCCCAAATGCTGGCCTCCATAGAGCTTGAGTTTTCCTGATGGGGATCATTAGGCAGATCCATGCTTTAGAAAGATGCTAGAGAGTTGAAAAGATGAGGTGTAGAGAGAAAAAAGGAGTGAAGTACCCCCAGAAAGAAGGTTCAGGCGAGAGATGACACAGGCTGAGATGACAGACACAATGGTGAAAAGTCACAAAGGCACTTTTCCCAGCAGAGAGAAAGTGATGTGTGTTTTTCATGTTTTGTTTTTTTGAGAGAAACACTGTGTTTAATGGTAAAGCTTAGCCCACCCCAGCACCAGGAATGATATGGAGTCGCCACAGCAGGGACAAGCAGGTGACCCCACAGAGCCTCACATGGCAAAGAAGATGAGGAAGGCAACCATCAAACAGAAAAGCCCCATGGCCTCAGACAGGGCAAAGCTCAGAATGGCGCAGGAGAAGAGCCGCTGCTTGAGAGATGGGTTTCTGGCATAGCCAATGATCAAGCTGCCAAACACTGTTCCAATGCCAGCCCCTGAACCAGCCACACCAACTGTGGCTGCCCCAGCACCAATAAACTTGGCTGCCGTGTCAATGTCCCAGGAGACAACACTGGTCTGGAACCCCTGTCGGGCCACCTGGAGTGGGGAGCTGCTATAGGAGGGCTGTTTAGATGAACTCTCTGGGCTATTCAAGAAGGAGGCAGACACAGGCCTGATTAGACCCGTGGTACAACAGCAGATCAGAGCCAGAGAAATGAGTAAGGCCCCGGTGGTCTGCATCTTTTCAGTCTCCCAGCTTTAGCCCTAGGTCTCAGCCAATAGTGATGTTTTTAAGGACAGTGTTAGCAAAGCAGGAAAGAAAAGGACTCCAAGGCTGGGCACTACTGGGGGCATCCCCAAGGACAGAAGTCCTCAGCCCAGAAAGTGGTAGCATAGGACCAGCTTGAGATAAGTGGTGATGGAGATGTGGTCAGGGCCTGCTCCAGGGAAACTTGTACAAGCATGGGAGGTAAGCACACTTCTTCACTGGCCCCAAAGCAGTGGGCCTGGCAAAGCCAGCTAGAATGGGGTGTGTGTGTGTGGTTGAGACAGAGTCTCACCCAGGCTAGAGTGCAATAGTATGATCTTGGCTCACTACAGCCTCCACCTCCTGGGTTCAAGTGATTCTCCTCCCAAGTAGCTGGGATTACAGGCAAGAGCCACCACACCCAGCTAATTTTTGTATTTTTAGTAGAGACAGGGTTTCACCTTGATGGCCAGGCTGGTCTTGAACTCCCTTCCTCAAGTGATCTGATTGTCTTGGCCTCCCACAGTGCTGGTATTACAGGCATGAGCCCCCGTGCCCAACCTCTGTTTTTATGATTGTTTGGTTTTTAAGCCTGTTTTGGGCAAACAGTACCTCAGACTCCCAGGAGCCAAAATAAAGGGAGTCTCTCTTGAGGTTCAGTCAACCACTGAAACAAAAATTAAAAGTAGGAGGAAATACTCTTTCCCACCTCACAATCCCTCTTTTAGCAGAGAGGGTGACAGCCAGAGAACAGGGAAACCCAGGTTTCAAGGTCACCACTTAACTATGAGATCTTGAAAAAGTCGCTTTCCACTTTCTCTGCGATCCTCAGTTTCCTTGTCTTTGTAATGCCTGCCTAACCAACCTCACAGGCTTATTGGGAGGATCAAAGTGCATGCAGTTTCAGAGTATAGAGTCCTATTCAAATATGACATACCCTCTTTCTCATTATTGTATTGCCATTATTATATGCTGCCTGCCAGGAGGGTAGAGTGAACGACCTGACCTGAGCACCTTTTCTTTTTTTTTTGAGAGGGAGTCTCCCTCTGTTGCCCAGGCTGGAGTACGGTGGTGTGATCTCAGCTCATTGCAACCTCCGCCTCCTGAGTTCAAGCGATTCTCCTGCCTCAGTCTCTCAAGTAGCTGGGACTACAGGTACCTGCCACCACGCCCGGCTAATTTTTGTATTTTTATTAGAGATGAGGTTTCACCCAGTGGGCCAGGATGGTCTTAAACTCCTGACCTTGTGATCCACCCACCTCAGCCTCCCAAAGTGCTGGGATTACAGGCGTGAGCCACCATGCTTGGCTGCCCTGACCATCTCTTTGATTACGCCAGCACCCAGAAAGGTAAAACTACCTTTTCTTAATCCTGTTTTGTCCAAGAAAATGTAAATGCACTTCTCTGCTCATAGCACTTTCACAAATATGGTGAATAATCCTAAAACCCTCCAGACTTCCTGTAACAAGTGTGCAAGCACCAGTTCACAAGGTGACGCAGAATGAGATGGGCAAAGACTCTCTGTATGCCCAGGGAAAGAGGTGCTATAACAGGAGGCCAAGTGGCTATCATGGCCAGACAGAGCCCATTTCCAGGAAAAAGGGCTAAAAGCAGAAAGAAGACTGCTGAGGCTCGAGTGCCTTGAACTTAGCGGCAAGTCTAAGAGAGTGCTGGCTGTGAAGAGATGCAAGCATTTTGAACTGGGAGGGGGTACAAAGAAAAAGGGCTAAGTGATCCAGTTCTAAGTGGCATCTTTTGTTTTATGATAAAGACAAAAAAACCTTGAGTTTATGTTCACTTCAAAACAACAAAAAAAGGAAATATAAATGCCTAGTGTCTACTGACCCGGAAGCACTACATGCTTTACTGCATCTTTCTCAGTAGCAATTGTCCATGAAAAAGAACCACGTCCCCTGGCTTAAGAGTTTTAAGCAAGTCTTATTTTTTGCTCTTAAAGAACTTCTAAGGATTTCTGCAAATACCAAATCACCCTTGACTTCTTTTATTTCCTATTAATTATCCACAAAAAAATTTTTTGACTAGTATAATAATAGGCTATAACATTATGGAGAGCATGGAGCATTCATTCAGACAAACATTACTAGAGGATTCTGATAGAGCATGGAACATGAAGCCAAAGGAACCTCACAGGCTCCCCATCTCATCCTTTGATAGGGGCTTATGCCTCAAGGGGCATTCTGGAAAGGGGCTTTTCGCAACAAGGGGGCACACTTCTCACAAAGAAAGAAAACCAGACCACGAGCTAGGGGTGGGAAGTTGTTGGCTGTGTCTGTAACATGTATCTGCTGAACACATACACGCTCTGCTGTTACCTCCACTAAAAAGACTCTATGGTCGATTCTCATGGGAAATAAACAAGGTTCCTACATTCCAGGAGTTTGTAGACTCCCTCCAAGTTACTGCAAGGCAAACCACTGACCATACAGCCCTGCTCAGAAGGGCTTTAGCTGTGGGAATTTCCTGTTTGATTTTATTTTCAATCAACTAGAATGTGACTTAATTACTTCAACATCAATTCAATAAGATTATTCTGCCTCTTCATGTCAGATACATTGCCATTAGCCCTGCGGAAATGGGATCTATACAACCCTGCCTGCGGCACAGTGCTTATGGCCCACTGTCTTAGAATGACAGAGTTGAAGAGCAAGATGAGGTGACTGTTGAGAGATTTCACACTTTGGAACGCTGCACATCTAACATGTTTTTTTTTTCCACTTGTTTGTTTTTGACTCATGGTTACTCTTTTTCCAATCCAGAATGAATTAGAAATTGAGAAAGAATCAGGTTAACACAACCCATGCAGACAGAGAAGCTGTTCAATGAGAACTCCCAACGGCACGTGGAGCTGAGACGTTCTGTCCTGCTCCTACGGTGGTCAGATTAACCTAAACCCATCAGAAAGCTGACCATCCTTAGGCAGCTCAACAAAGGCTTCAGCTTGCAACACAGGAAAATGCAGAGCAAAAAATACTATGACAAAAAGAGGAGAGATTCAGGAAAAAAATGTAAACAGAGCAAGGAGCAAACAGGCTTGCAAATCCACATGAAGGACACACAAGGGAATCCTTTCCAAGGTTGAATTGGTGACTAGACCAATTTTACCCTCCCTTAGAAAAACTGGCATTGATTAGTGAGTATGACTGTATGGGCTATTTGGAGCTTTAGTTTTCATTCCAAGAAACTGGCAGCATCTCTCACTATGGACTCCCCAAATTGATGGATGGTAGCAATTATGCGGTGCTATTTATGTAATGTGTTGTAATAACAGCACACGTTGGCTGTCACTTTGACCCAGACACCCCTTTGCCCAACTATAAAGAAACCCCGTCACGGAGCTGCCTTCAACAAGAGGCCAAGAAAAAAAGAAAAAAAATCTCTTCATCCCACCCCCTAACTCTCAAGGAAATAGAAATTTCAAAAGCCTTCGAGAAAATAATGCCCCTTTGGTAGGAAGACGTAAATTAATTGGCCTTTGTGGTTTATCAGTCCATCTGGGTATGTATATTTCTGCTCATTCCCATAGCAAACAAAGGTTATTAAAGACTAAACAAGCTTCTTTCACCCAATGGATGTTTAACGACTTTTCACATTAAGCCCACATCATTGGTCTTGTCTGCAGGGAGATGCAAAGGTGAAATAGAGCCTTGGTGTTTAGGAAGCAAAGTGCCTAGTGCCCTTAGATGAGAACAGCAATAATAATCACAGCTTCCATGTACTGTGTACCAGGCATTGTACCAGGTGCTTCAACACATGATTCCTTATAACACTGGGATAGGATCATCTCCCCTCCTGGGCTCTTGACTCTTCTCACTGATCTCTGCTTTTGTTTTGGAGACAGGGTCTCATTCTGTCTCCCAGGCTGGAGTGCAGTATACCATCTCTGCTCACTGCAAACTCAGCCTCCTGGGCTCAGGTGATCCTTCTATTTCAGCTTCTTGAGTAGCTGGGACCATAGGCATGCACCATCATGCCTGGGTAATTTTTCATGTTTTTGGTAGAGACAGGGTTTCACCATATTGTCCAGGCTGGTCTCGAACTCCGGGACTCAAGAGATCCACCCACTTCAACCTCTCAAAGTGCTGGAATTACAGGCATGAACTATACACCCAGCATCTCACTGATCTCTTTACTCTTCCCTGAACACTGGATGTGCTCCTGCCTCAGGATCTGGCACTGTTTTCTCCGAGGACATTCTTTCCCCGGATATCCAGGTCTCACTCCCTCACTGCATGCAGGTTTCTGCTCCAATATCACTGTATCTGGCAAGCCTTCTCTGATCACTGAAGGCAACTAGCAATATCTTCACCTTACCCCATTATTTGTCTTCAGTGACCATGTCACTCTGGATGAATTAAATGACCATTTGAAATTGATCTGGAATCAGGTAGTGGTGATGGTTGCACAACTTTGCGATATACTAAAAACCTCTGAATTATATACTTTCAAAGGGTGGAATTTATAGTATGTGAAGTTTATCTCAACATAGCTGTTTAATAAAATAGAATGAAAGTTGTTACCATCTTTCTCTCCCTCCAGGAAACAAATAAGAGTTGTTTTTGTTTTGCTTTGTTGTTTTTTTTTTTTTTTTAAACAAGTTCTCACTCTGTCATACAGGCTAGAGTACAGTAGTGCTACTCATTGCAACTTCCACTTCCCAGGCTCAAGCAATCCTTCCTCTTCAACCTCCCAAGTAGTTGAAACTACTGGTGCATATTACCACTCCCAGCTAACTTTCTGTAGAAACGGGGTTTTGCCATGTTGCCCGGGCTGGTCTCGAACTCCTGGACTCAAGTGATATGCCCATCTTGGCCTCCAAAAGTGGTGGAATTATAGGCATGAGCCACTGGGCCCAGCCTGTCTTAGCTATTTTCTTGAGTCCTAGAGAATCTTGAGCACAAAGCAGGTACTCAATAAATATTTGCTGAATGAATGAACATGTGAGAAGAAACCTTGAAATCTAAAACAACACTGATTAGCCACAAGGATGTTAGTGTTTTTATTCCACAGATAATGATGGGTTTCTTCTAGAA